CCACAGTTTCCTCCCGAGTCTACCCGCACAGTTACTGAAGAGAGCTCTGGACAGGACATGGCTCGAAAGACTCACTCCTTGGAATGTCCTCCTGCTCCCGGCTTATAAACAACTGTCCTCGGGGAAGAAAGGTCTTACATAGCCAAATACAGCCTGGCAAATGGCACTTTGGGACCGTGCTTTCTGATGACAACGCGTTCGATTTGTGACAAAGCCTCTCACGCGCTGCCCCTGGAGGGGAGTCCTAAGTAAAACTCAGACCCGCCTTCAAGTGCGGATCGGAGGGCTTGCCCGGTGAGCAGGCAGCATGGCATCGGCCGCGAACCTGGTCACCTGGCTCCTGTGGGGTTACTTACTGGAGCTTTGGACGGGAGGGCACACGGCAGATACCCCTCACCCCCGCCTACGTCTGTCACATAAAGGTAGGTCACCTTTTTAGATCCTTTTGTTAAAAAGAGAGAGAAAAAAATTAAAGTCCTTTAACCTAGATCTTTGGTCTTCACAGACCCTTAAAATGCAGCTGAAAAACATTATTGCCAAACTGACCTAAGACTCTAAGTGCCTCTGATTAGCATGTCATACTCACCGCATCTGAGAATAGTGCAAAATTGCATGCCAACTTGGAGATGTTATTTTTGTCTTGTAAATATTAGGTTTTATTAATGAGAAGTTCACTCACTAGCAGACACAACAGAAGAGGACAGGAAGCAGGTTGTAAATAGCCTGGAGGGGCTGAATCCAAGTTAGCAGTAGGTATTTGAATACCAATTTATGCATGATGGGAAACACGGATGTTGGAGAAGGTCTTCAGAGAGAGGTGCAGTATAGGTTTGGTGTTGTCCACAATGGGGATGAGAGGAGGAGGGGAAAATGAAATTCCTGAGAAGCAAAATGATTTCTTGCCCATGATGACAAAGTCATCACCGTGTAATTAAAATGACTAACGACTGATACAAATTAGCTTTTTAGTTGAACTGATTATTAGAATTTCTTTTATGTTTGGCAAAAAAAAATGTTCAGCGTTTATTAGCAATCCTTGTAAACTGATTTATATCGATTCAAGTATCAGGATACTATTCACTAGCATTGATTCTTTTTGTGTAAATTCATATTGCTTAACTGAAGATCCAGGAGAAAGTGCTTAAATATTTTATTCTGAGCTATGTCTTGTAAAGCAGCATTTGGTCATAAATAAATGATCAAAAGATAGCTTTTGCATCAGGACCAGTAAAAGCCAGTCATGAATAGATTTGGTGATTCTTCTGTAAACAAACAAACAAACAAACAGCAAACAAAACCCACACATTGAGAAAGTGACTGCTGACCCAAATGTAATTTGGAAAAAATTTTCTGCAACGAAGTATTTATTATCTGTCATTAGTCACTAAGACAGATAACAGTTGTAGTAACAACAATTACATAAGAACCACTTTTCCATTGTGTAAGATTTTAAATTGTCCCGGTTACAGAAACCTGTATTTTTAAAGTATAGGTGTAATCTTTACCAGAGGGAGAAACACAAAGGGAAGCCTCAAATTTAGATGTCATGATTGACCTTTTTTTTTGTTTGTTTATTTTTATTGGACAGTCATCCGCTGATTTGGACCATAGAAATTTCTCATTTTTAGACTAGTTAACAAGCTATGAATACTTTCTTCGTTTAAATAGTTTTCCTACTGTACTCCCCGGTAGATAACATGATTTAAGAGACACATGGACAGTGTATCTGTAAAGGATTTAAAATACAGTACCTAACATTAGCACAAATTATTTGAATTGGGAAGATGTATCATGGTGTGTATCAAAATGCATATTTCTAAGAAGCTTGATCGAATGTATCAAAATGTAAAAAAGTTGATGTGATGAATTATGGACAAAGAAGGATGTCAGGAGAAGAATGTAATAAATGGGTTGTTTTTCTTGTGTAGCCAAGTGGATAAGCTGCCAGTTTTGGTGAGCCACTCTTCTAACTACACCTGGTATCAACCTTTTATACCTCATTATTAGGTACTTGTTTTCAGTAGTTCACTATCAGTATATTTTTGAAGCTATATCATATTAATATTTCATTAGAGAGTTTGTAATCTGGTCAAAGCATACCCAAACTCTCTAATGCAACTAAATGCTATGCATATTATTGTTTTCAGACTCACCTTGACTACATCTTTTTTTTCCCCCCCACTACCTCTCTTAATCAGAGGAATCTGGAATGGATTTTTGGGGTTGTGTTAGATGATGTGGGAGTAGAACTTCTATCTATGTGGACTCTAGACTGAAAAGTACCACAAAATTTCCCTTTGGTTTTTCTTAACCTTTTGATGTGATGGCACTAGCTGAAATGCACAATGTTGTGCTTTTCTACAGAGACGATATACAGTCACCTGAAAATAGACTGTTCTCACTTGTGCATGTTAGCCAGCAAAATCAGCTGAGAGGTCACCACGGAGATGCAACCAGAAGCAGCAAATGTGGGCACTGCAGGTGACTCAGTGCAAGGGAAGGACTGCTGGAGCAGGAATATTTAGCCCCATCTACTCTTCACACTCTAAACATCCCGTTTACTCTTTACACTCTGAAATTCAGTGGACGTCTTAGAGGTATCCAAAAACTAAGGGTGGGGCATTTCAGAGTATAATCTTTTGCTACCTTAAATGATACCAGAAATGCTACAATTTTACTAATGGATCAATTGATTGATACTGTAAGTGAGTACATGGTCCTTCAAAATATAAACAGTGCTGTATATAAATACTGTAACACCTCTGAACTGCCGCCTGACCCCCAGCAGATAAATCTCGAGGGCTCTCTAGAGGTGACCTACTGGATTATTCCAGGGATTCATTTCATAGCGGTGGTTTATGTTCTATGGGAGAAAGACAAATATTTTTCTTACCTCCTTCGTTATCAAGATGGCACCTGAGACCACAAGTCTCATGTCTCTTCCCCAAAAAGAGGTAGAAGTTGCAGCATCATATAAAAAGTTTGAGCTGAATTACATAAAATGCCAATGACTTTCCCTTTTCCTCTATCCTTCTCTATCTTTGGATGTGGCATGTCCTTAAACAGTGTTTAAGAGGAGGAGAGATCATTAGAGCTAAAAGGGGGAGAAGGCAGAGAGAGAGTGAGACAAGGTAGAAAATTCGTATCAGATATAGAGCATCTTCTTGCTGATTTCCCACTGCGCTCCACTTGCAGTGGGAAAATATTGAATTTCTCCCTGAGAAGCAAGCTTAGTGGATTAAGTGATGACACATTTACTCTTGTTGAGGCAATGCCTGTATCTTTAACGTGTTCTACAGGTGTAAGATAAATTGTGTTAACAAATAAAATTATAGCAAGTTGCTGTTCTGCTTTGTAAGACTTTTCAGTCAAGATTTGAGTTGAGATTAACGGTACCAGGCAAGTGTTTAAGTGTTTATGAATAGTTAAAAATCATGGCCAACTTTATAGCCAGTACTCTAAAGAGGATAATATTGGTGTGATTATTGCAAGTTTATAATATTCTACCCAAGGATTTCCTTGAAAAATAGCTCTGATTCTCATGACAGAAGTGAAGGAAAGAGAATAAAGGGAGAAGAGTCCTGCTAGATGCAGCCTCTGCCCTCTGTCGATGTCTGTTCTCTCCTTATCTCTCACCATCCTGCATTAATGGGGTTACAGGGAAGGCAAAAATAACCTTCTTGCTCATGGAGCTCAAAGAAGAAAAAACAAATGAGCAAAGCCCCATGTCAAAGAAGAAATCCCAACGTACATGGAAAACCCCAGAAATTCAGTCAAGGGAGCTTGGCAGATGGGGTAGGTATTCAAAGACCCAATAAAGAGTGACACAGTCACAGAAGCCGAGGAGAATGGCTGTGTAATCAGAGGATGTTTGGTGAGGAGATACAGAAGTGAAGGCATAAATATGGCCGAAGATCATTCCTAGCAGATGTTGATGTTATAAATGTAGACTTGAGCATTGAATATATATCTATCAATATAAAAAAGTGGGATAAAGAGTGTTAGTCTATCTGTATTTCGATATTATAACCAATTAAATACAGAGTTGTCATAGCTTCAGATATAGAGTCAGAGGTCTCTCCTTCCATTTATACTAATGGTAACTGTCTGTGCCTCAGTCTCCTTAATTTGAAAATAGAGATGGTAATGGTGCTTTCGCTGTATATCTTACTGGGTTTTTGAGAGAATCAAATGGAACGACGAAACTGTGAAAGTACCTTATAACCTAAAAATTATTTTATCAATGTTTTGTGAAGACTGATATAAATGAAGGTTAGATGGAAACATGTCCCAAGGAGAAAAATCTTGGGGAATGGCATGAGTTTGGATATCAATAAATGCTAGGATGATGTTAACACAGAAGAAAGAAGAAGTTGGTCTTAATTAGCATAAAATATATGGTTTATCATGATAGGTTGCATTCACTCCAAATCCCGTCTTCCATACCTTTGATCTCTAGTTATAATAATTTAGAAGATGGTCGCATCTGTGCATTTTTACAAGATTCATGGCCAATAGTTTTGCTATTGGCGTGTATGTAGTATATCTATTTATTACACGTATTCACCTCACACCACACCTTTCTGATTCTTTTTCTAACTTATGTGAAAGAAAATTGAGATAGAATTGTAGAAGAGCATAACAAAAAATGAAATGTTTTAAATGATCATCCTGGAGGCTGTATTCATTTCATATCCAGAGCAAATACAAAAAAGAGGCAGTGGCTGAGCCAGTTTTTCCTGACCCAGCTCATAGCTTTGGTTTTTCAGCCAGTAACAAAGTATTATCAATAGTGACATTAGTCACATATCCCTGTGTGGTTAATAAATAAAAAGAGGTCATAAGGCATGATTCATGAAGAAAGTTGCTAAATAGGACCCAGGAGTAAATACAAACCTCGTGCCAGTTCTCCCACAGGGAGAGTCGGTGAGAATTAAGTGGTAGATATATTAAGAAATAGTTTATGTGAAATTAAAAGTACTGGGTAAGATGAAAGGAATGACAGTATGTTTTGTTGAGTTTGGTTTACCCAGAATATATTTTCTGTAGGTGAAGTCTGTGTAAGGATTTTAGATGGTGCTATCCTTTGTAGTTTTGATATTTGTTATAGACAGATACTGCTCACATATCACAGAAATGCATATGGATATATTGAAGTCCCTGAATGAATATGAATTATTTACTTCTTACCTGGATATTGGGTGTTACATTGGTAAAGCCGTTGTGCTTTAATATAGAGATAGGGCGAAGGGAGGTCAGAGTTAGCATGAGCAGTAAATGGAATTTTTAAATGAACTGGGCCAATTTGGACTGAAAAATAACATAGTTGAGTAAAATCGTTTCTTAAGTCTTTATGAAGAGAGTGTCCTATACGTAATATAGAACTGATACTTGTTCTTGACTCTTAAATATATGCAGTGGG